TGAATGCGTCAGTGGTATCTATTTCGATTTTTACTTTTGCTTATACAAGAAAATCTATACATGTTTACTTTAAAATTCATAAAAATCTAGATATTATTTGATTTATATATTTCAGTGCAAAATGGCTTCAGCTGCTTTAATTAAAAAAATGGCGAATGTAGAAGGTTCTTACCACAATCGGTAATTTAGCCACATAAAAATAATTTTTACTATGTTTTAGTAACACATTCGTTCCTAGTTTTCCATTGAAAGTATTTAGGACTGTCAAGTAAATATCGGAACTACACAGAAGCTTCTGTATAGTCTTGGGTACTACAACACTACTTTCGGTATAGTAGCGTCGGTGTTAACATACAAGCATTGTACAATGCAGTCTCATGAGTTATTAAATTGGAACTATGATGCGTCTGCGTGCGATACCATATTAGCCATTTGCCACGATAAAGTCCCGTCTTCCACTATAGAGGAACTACTTGCTACATGCGTTTGTAACCTCAAATTAGTGACAATACAAAGGCAAGCTGGAAAGTTTGTTGTATCATCTTATCTTGTATTTATAAAAGTAATAAAACCAAGTATTTGCAAAATATCCCTTTTATGCATGTTAATGTGAACTATTGTTTAGTTTTATGGTATAGTTTTTATTTTGTGGAAGTGGAAAAGTTTTCATGGTGTACCGAGGGGGAAAAAGCCCTTTCCGACTTATATACCTATGTCATTTTTGAAGTTTTGTTAAAAGCCGACAATAGACATACAAAAGAAAGAAATGAAAAAATGCCCAAAGAAGGAATGCTAAGAAAAGAAGTGAAAGAAATATGAAGAAAATCACACAGGCTGCTCATGAAGTGAAATTTCGAATTATCCTGTTACTGCAGAAGGTGGTAATGAAGATGAAATAGAAGTCCAATAATGTTTTTATTTAATTTTAGTATAGTTATTTCTATTTTAAATGCTTTATTTAAATATATATTCATTTGTATTTAAAATACATATGTTTTATTTTCTATAAGTATTTCAAAAATTAAAAACTATTTAAATTTCGAACAAAATTGCAAAAACACCAATTGTACCTATCATAATTATTTTGCAATTTGCATAGGTATATATTTAAATAGGCAGGTTAAAAAAATCACTTTATTTTCATAAATATGAATTTTTTTCACTATAATAAGTCGCATTTATCATCCACGATAACATTTTTTTTTGTCAGAAACCATTTATTTTTTATATTATTTCGCAATATAAATTTTATTTGACAATTTTTATAAACAATACCTTTCATTTAATTCGTCAACAAACCGGTTAAGAAAATGCTGCAAAGGTGGCTTCGACTCTTCACAATAAATTGACACTACGATTGGTTTTACATCTGGTAACTCTGCGATTCTAAATAGAATTGGCCAAAATTCCAATGGTGCGCTTTTGAATGGTGGAACTCCGTGTACATTGAAAATTAGTGACAAAGACACTTTATTCAGTTTAAAGGCCATTGGCAAATAAGCTAATGGCAACTACATTACACGACTCTCCCAAATTTATCCCTAACGAATTATATTTCGACTTTTTAAGTTTTCGATAAAAAGTTGTTGAATGTCTATTTTTTTTTTTCTGTATGTTTAGACATATTTTTAGTCACAAAATAACACTAAAGAACAAACAGTTGCTCACACAACGCAACAATGTTTCTAACTTAATTTTGTTGGTACTTTAATAGTCCCACAAACTGCAAAGTAATTTCTTGCAGTTTTGGGAACTTTATAGTCAGAAGGAAACAAATTACTTAGTTACTGCTACTTTGCCATGTTCTTCTACAGTTAAATTTACAAATAAGTTACAATTAATGTTTCTAATGTGTTACTAACTTTAAAACAAAATTATATCCACCCGGCTAAGTCGCAGTTACTGTAGACTTTCAGTCTATTAGGATTTTTACTTTGGTGACGCATTTTAGTAAAACCCATAGTTGCCGCTACTATTTAATAGCGACTTTTAGGTAGAAGTCAATTTAAACGCAATTTTCAAGTTAAATATTAGTGCATGCGACTTTGTGAGGGTCTATGATGTTACTACTTTATATAACATATTTAAAGTAATTTTAACATTCCAGTTACTATATTTAAAGACGACAAAATAATTCCTCGTTCTCATTGAACGCATTTATAGTTTTATTCTCTACACGAATACCAATTAGAGGTTATAATAACTTTAACATTAGTTTTTGTCACTGTTTGTGCTAGTTGGGTTATCTTGAATTTGGCTAGATCTCGCAAAAATAACCGCATAAGTAGGTAAGTTTATTTTTTTCTTCGGTAGATGCATTCAAAATTATTCAAATTTAATTACAAATTTATAACAATAAATCGATTTCACGTTTCAGCATTCAAAATTGATAATACTACCGAAGAAAAAAATTACAAACTTGTAAAGGTATTTTTACAAAACCTATCCAAATCTGCGAGATTGTCCACCAGTTTGTGGACATTCTGTATATTTTATTTCTTCTGATCACAGCCATACAAAAAAAAAATCAAAAATCCAAACCCAAGAGAGCCACATATAATTTCCGAAGGAATTCGATGCATTAAACACGATCCTGTAGTCAAAATTCATGACTTCAAGACACATTTTGGAGAGAAGTGAAATTTTTGCGTGAAAACTGGCCCAA